AGAATATCTTAATGAAAAGGTCCTCTCCATGCATGGCTTAAAAAAAACAGAACTCGGGAGATTCGAATACAATTACGCCAGTCAGTTGAATATTGAAAAGTGGGACCCAGAAAATTAAAAGCAACCCTTACAAGGACAGATAGCCAAGACATGATCGTCACACACACCCAAACATTCCCCCATATTGTAAACTAAAAAACAACGCTAGCCACATTTCATGTCCCCTAATCCCATGTATCCTGCACACTATAATGTGGTCCTGTGCTGCCTCCCCAGATGCCCTCCTGGGTTCGTACCTTGCGAGGAAGCATTCTCACCCTCGTAATGACATTAGCTACCCATTGTGTGATGCCTGCGCCTGCACACTCCAGCAGCAGCAGCTGGCACAAATACAATACTGTCGACACCTTGTTCGTTCCTTTCCACGCCCACTCTGCAGTGCTTATTGCTAACTTTTCATATTTTTGAGATGTGGAATGATATGTGTGTAGATATATTTGTATTATGTAATACGAATTAACTTGCTAGAGTATTTTTCTGTTTAGATACTCTAACAGGTAAGATCTTAAACATATATATATATATATATATATATATATATATATATATATATATATATATATATATATATATATATATATATATATATATATATATATATATATATATATATAATAATTTACCTTGAAAGGGTACCACCTCTGGTGCAAGTGTAGGGACCCATAGCCTCGGAGAAGAAAATAAAGAGTACTTAGAGAAGACCTTGTGGATCCTCACTGAACACTTCGATATTTTCTTCACCTACCACCCCCTATTCTTTTGGAATGTGTGTATATATCTAACTTTTTTTGAATATGTCATTACACAAAAAAGTTACAACATTGGTTACATGCAGGGTACAAGGCTACTTGTCACTAGTTGTATAGCTCCTCCAGCTCCTCAGATAGGGAGCAGGAACCATGGATGCAGTGAGCATTTCCTCTCTGGATTGCCACACTAAGGCGCTGAAAGAGAAAACTGGCAGCTCTAGGGTCTCTAGTTGTTTCGATTAGCTTAGACCCCAACTCCTTCAAAAAGATAGCAGCACTTTTACCCCAGGCACCACGTGTCTCTGAGGCAATGGGGACAAAATTGTAGTGGTGCTCAAGGTCTCTGTATTTACGTGACTTGGCCGCTTCCCGGTGATTGGCAGCTCCTCCTGCTTGTGTAGCACTAAAGTCAACATAGGTGTTAGCTAAAGTTGAAAAGCAAGTGTAGTCCCACACCAACTATCTACCATTCTTCCAGGGGTTCACCGTGATTCCGTCTGGGCGACCAACATGCTCATCAGAGTTGCGGGACTTTAGGTAACGGGGCTCTCTCTCTGCTGGACAACCGGCTGTGGTAAGGCTTCTCTTAATAATGTCGTTAACCTCGCTGTGTCTTGGATGCCATCCTCCTGTGCTTTGGCAGAGAAGGCCATGCCGTCCGTACCTGTCGGCCTCTGCCTCGTCGCAAATAGCAACCCGTTCTCGCAAATTCGTATAGTCAATATTGACTTAACTACGTGCATAGGTGATATACTAAACATAATAGATACCCTTAAAAAGCGTCATAGAAAACACCGACCTTACCTAACCTTGTTAGTATCTTAAGATAAGCATCTTATTGCTTCGTAATTACAATGCTTATCTTAAGATACTAACAAGGTTAGGTAAGGTTAAGGTGTGTGTTTTCTATGAAGCTTTTTAAGGGTATCTATTATGTTTAGTATGTCACCTATGCACTTATTTAATAAGTCAATATTGACTTTACGAATTTGCGAGAACGGGTTGCAAATACACCTGTATTCGGTGTGGATTGGGGCAGCGAGGCGGAGAGCCACGGCAATTCGGAGGGCCTGCGGTGTGAGACGAGTGCCGGTTTAATATATATATATATATATATATATATATTTATTAAGAGAGAGGGAGGGAGGGGAGTGACAGAGAAACGGAGAATCCTCGCTAATATTGACTATATGTTTTATCATTATTGATGTTGTTTTACTGCTAGCAGAAACTGCTAATAATTGTATAGTCATTTTCTATCAAATATAAATTCTTGATGTATACGTTTATATAAATAATTCATTGATATATAGTTAGTAGTCATTGAAACGTTATGTCACGTCCAGGGCAAATCATTTGATCTCTGATAATGTTAAAACTCAACAGTCCACACTTGACAGCCCTTCACCTAATGGAAAGTACACCCACACTGTCAACTCCGGCTTACGAATACAACACTGAAACAGACAAGAGCACTCTCATCACGACTAAAGGACAAAATATTTCAGTTTCATTTTCTCTTGAATGCCCGCCAAACACACACCGAAACTACGACGTTGGTACAACGTTCGAACAAGTCTTAACACCTCCTTACCAGTTATAACAACCAATATAGCAAGTTGTAACAACTTTCTAATACGTCATAAACACGTTAAGCCAAGATGTAACAACTTTATTACAAGTTTTAACAAGCGGAAAATATAGCGACAGTTTCGGTTTATGTTTCCAGGGGTGATCAACTGTAGGAAAGATTTATTTCTTCTGCATTCTCCTTAAGAATAGAATTAATTCCTAATGCTTGTAAAACAGATGTGCACTTTATTAGGCGTATGTTGAATATTATAGGCCTAGGGTAGCTTGAATAGGTTAGGTTCTCATTGTTACTTTTAATTTTCTATTGATGCCATTTAACTTAATTTAATAAGTAAAAAAAAATGTATGGTCTTACAGTCCATTTCACTACGTTTGACCAAATAGTTGTTACCGGGATAATCTCTATAGGGGAATAAGTTAAAATTGAAAACTAAAATTAAAATTGTCCTCTCACCTATTTTACCACATTGCTTATGCTTTCAATCACCACGTAAATAATACGGTAATTTAGTGGAATTCAGAATGTAGCAAAATTTACGCTTTCTCTAACTAATTAACCCCTGGCATCGATGGATTAATTGGGTTACTAAGGTTTAAGTATGCGTCTGGTTAGACATAACTCACTTCACATTTGACGCTGGACACATCGTCAAATCAGGGGCCAGATTCACGATTCGAGCACTTACGAACCTGTACATCTTTTCTCAATCTTTGGCAGCTTTGTTTACAATTATTAAACAGATAATGAGCTCCGAAGCACCAGGAGGCTGTTTATAACAATAACAACAGTTGACTGCGAAGTTTTCATTATTGTAAACTGTTTAAATAAATGTAACCAAAGGCGTCAAAGATTGAGGAAAGATGTACACGTTCGTAAGTACTTCCGTAATTGCTTCGTGAATCCTCTGAATTGGGATACCTTGAGTCAGCCTCACAGCTTACGGCAAGACACACACACACTTCTTGTTATCTCTTAGTGTTCATGTGTTTGCATGTGCTTGTTTTGCATGTGCATGTGTTTGTTTTGCATGTGCATGTTTTTGTTCTCCATGTACACGTGTTTATGTGTACTTTGTACAGAGCTTTGACAAATATTGTAGGGAATTAGAGTGCAATCAGATTTGTTTAATATCCCCCCAGGATACGAATTACAACCGTCTGTTGAGACTAATGTTCCTAATTACTGCTCCTAATTACTGACCCTAATTACAGAGGCAACCAGTGTAAACAGACTAGTCCATATGTCTGGCCTGGCCGATCTACCTCGCATAAAAGACAGTTACATAAAAGCGATGGTTTAAAACGTTTTATTTCCTTATACACACCTCCTATGAGGGGGCCTCATAGCCTGGTGGATAGCGCACAGGACTCGTAATTCTGTGGCGCGGGTTCGATTCCCGCACGAGGCAGAAACAAATGGGCAAAGTTTCTTTCACCCTGAATGCCCCTGTTACCTAGCAGTAAATAGGTACCTGGGTGTTAGTCAGCTGTCACGGGCTGCTTCCTGGGGGTGGAGGCCTGGTCGAGGACCGGGCCGCGGGGACACTAAAGCCCCGAAATCACCTCAAGATAACCTCAAGATAACCTCTGTGAATCGGCCAATTCAAATCCCGCCAAACACACCGAAACTACGACGTTGGTACAACGTTCGAACAAGTTTTAACACCTTCTAACCAGTTACAACAACCAATATCGCAAGTTGTAACAATGTTCTAATACGTCATAAACACGTTAAGCCAAGATGTAACAACTTTATTACAAGTTATAACAAGCGGAAAATAGAGACAGTTTCAGTTTGGGTTTCCAGGGATGAAACTAGAAATTTGTTTAAAAACCTTATTTTACTGACATTATATTTAGACTTTTTACAAATATTTAGAGTATTTTACTTTGACTTCCGAAAACCCTTGATTTATTCCCCCCCAAAATATGTCCAATCACTTGGGTTGGACGGTAGAGCAACGGTCTCGCTTCATGCAGGTCGGCGTTCAATCCCCGACCGTCCATGTGGCTGGCCAGTATTCCTTCCCCCCCGTCCTATCCCAGATCCTTATCCTGACCCGTTCCAAGTGCTGTATAGTCGTAATGGCTCGGCGTTTTCTACTAATAATTCCCTCCCTCCCCCCAAAAAATAAGATAATAATTTATCCAAAACGTCTAGAAATAGAGAACCATACAAAGTTCATCATATATGAACATTTTTTTTTTTTTTTTTTTTTTTTGAGATATATACAAGAGTTGTTACATTCTTGTACAGCCACTAGTACGCGTAGCGTTTCGGGCACGTCCTTAATCCTATGGTCCCTGGAATACGATCCCCTGCCGCGAAGAATCGCGTTTATTTTGTTCGAGTTTATTTTGGGGGCCGGGCCTTTTAGCTCTCCCATATTTGATACTCTTGTCTTCTAACTACCCTTACCCCTTAATATTACCAGTACCCCATAGCCCACATCTATTTTTATAACAACATCTTTACACAACCACGTCAAATGCCCCGTGAAAACGCGACAACCTCTCTCAATGTGAAGTAACAATAACGTAATCTAATCGATGCCAAACCACGAACAATAGTGAGTGCTGTGAGCAGCGGATAGACTGTAGTAGATAGGGAAGCACCTAGGCAGACTGGTAGTGAAATACCCTGTCAGGCAAGCACCCAGACGTCAGGCCGGCAGTGGAGCACCCAGACAGGTAAACAGAAAACCATTCAGACAGACTGGCAGTGAAGTTCAATCCATTTTTTTTTTTAGGTAAACCACTACCAGAGAGACTGTGGTACACGGGTGTATTATGAAGGAAAAAATAAGGCCAGAGAGAGAGACAAATATCCTGAGTGATAGATGAAGCTATTCAACCATTACTGGACCTGGACAAATTCGAACCCACCGAGTTTTTAGTATCATTAAACCAAATTAGAAGCGATTCCATTAAGGAAATGTTTTTGCTAGCAGACGGCCATCCTAATACATCACAACGTCACCCGGTTAATTACAGGTTAGTTAAATAATAGCCAAATAATAGAAATTACAATTATGAGTGATTGTGTAGGGATAGCGAAAAGATATCATAACTAAATAGTATATTGGTCAGATTGCAAGAGAACTATTAAGAACAAATGAGATAGGATATATATATATAATGTCTGTTCTGATTGGATATCTGGAAAAGGGATATAAAGTATTAAGCTAAAGAATAAGGAGGAGGTTAACAAAATTTATTGTGTGGAGGTCAGAGTTAATAGAGAGGCCAGACAGATTAAGTACATGAGAAATCTTTGCAACAGAGTAAGATACACAAGATTCATACCTATATGAAAATTAAAGTTTAATACAAGGGGGGGAGGAGGGGAGAGAGACAGGTAACCCACCAAGTGTGTGTGTGTTTACTAGTTGTGTTTACTAGTTGTGTTTTTACGGGGGTTGAGCTTTGCTCTTTCGGCCCGCCTCTCATCTGTCAATCAACTGTTTTACTTACTACTTTTTTTTTCTCCACACCACACACACACACCCCAGGAAGCAGCCCGTGACAGCTGACTAACTCCCAGGTACCTATTTACTGCTAGGTAACAGGGGCATTCAGGGTGAAAGAAACTTTTCCCATTTGTTTCTGCCTCTTGCGGGAATCGAACCCGCGCCACAGAATGTGTGTGTGTGTGTGTGTGTGTGTACTCACCTAATTGTGCTTGCGGGGGTTGAGCTCTGGCTCTTTGGTCCCGCCTCTCAACACTCAATCAACAGGTGTACAGAATCCTGAGCCTAATGAACTCTATCATATCTACATTTGAAACTGTGTATGGAGTCAGCCTCCACCACATTACTGCCTAATGCATTCCATCTGTTAACTACTCTGATACTGAAAAAGTACTTTCTAACGTCCCTGTGGCTCATTTGGGTACTCAGTTTCCACCTGTGTCCCCTTGTTCGCGTACCACCCGTGTTAAACAGTTTATCTTTATGTACCCTGTCAATTCCTCTGAGTGTTTGGTAGGTAGTGATCATGTCTCCCCTTACTCTTCTGTCTTCTAGTATCGTGAGGTGCATTTCTCGCAGCCTTTCTTAGTAATTCAAACCTCTTAGTTCTGAGACTAGCTTAGTGGCATATCTGTGAACTTTTTCAAGCTTGTGCTTCACAAGGTATGGGCTCCATGCTGGAGCCCGCATACTCCTGGATTGGTCGTACATATGTGGTATACAAGGTTCTGAATGATTCCTTACACAGGTTCCTGAAGGCAGTTCTGATGTTAACCAGCCTCGCATACGCCGCAGATGTTATTCTTTTGTTGGTGGGCTTCAGGAGACAGGGCTGGTGTGATATCAACTTCTAGATCCTTCTCTCTGTCCGTTTCATGAAGGACTTCATCTCCTTTTCTGTATCCCGTTTCTGGCCTCCTATTTCCAATGCCTAGTTTCATTACCATTCATTTACTCGGGTTGAACTTTAGTGACCATTTGTTGGACCATTCATGCAGAGTGTCTAGGTCATCTTGTAGTCTCATACTGTCTTCCTCCGTCTTAATCCTCCTCATAATTTTTGCATCATCAGCAAACAATGAGATGAATGATTCTATACCCTCTGGAAGATCATCTACATATATAAGAAACAGTATGGGTCCAAGGACTCCACCCTGCGGGACCCCACTGGTGACGTCTCACAAATCTGAGATCTCACCCCGCACAGTGACTCGCTGCCTTCTGTTACTTAGGTACTCCCTTGTCCAATGGAGTACATTCACTTTCACTCCTGCCTGCATCTCCAGCTTTCGCACTAGTCTCTCGTGTGGCACTGTGTCAAAGGCTTTCTGGCAATCCAAAAATATGCAGTCTGCCTACCCCTCTTTTTCTTGCCTGATTCTCGTTGCCTGATCGTAGAATTCAATTAATCCTGTGAGGCATGACTTACCATCCCTGAAGCCAATCTGTTTGTCACTATCCTCAGTATCATTACCTGTTCCTTCCCTATTGTCTTTCTCCGGATGTGGTTGTGCAGCAATTTGGGTTGGTCTTAGCCATGCTTGCTATGTCGTTTTCATATTGCCCTTCTGCCTCTCTTCTCACCCTGACGTATTTATTCCTGGCACTCAGGTAACCTTCTATGCTCTCAAGTGTCCTGTTATTTCTATAGTTTCTCTATGCTCTTTTACATTGTTGCTTAGCTATCTTATCTCCTCTTCGTTTTCTTTATCGCCTCACGCTCACATATGCGTACTCACCTATTTGTGCTTACGGGGGTTGAGCTTTGAGAGTGTATATATATATATATATATATATATATATATATATATATATATATATATATATATATATATATATATATATATATATATGTTTTTATAATAATGTTTTTATTTTCTTAGTGTCTAATTGACAGGTGGTGAAACTTCATAGTGATGGTGAAGAATCAGGGAGGTCCCTCATGGAGCTCACCTTCACCTCTCAGTCATAAACGTGATCTTGGGAACAATGCCGAGATGAGTCATGTTCACCTGGAAATTGAAGACGAGTCATGTTCACCTGGAAATTGAAGACGAGTCATGTTCACCTGGAAATTGAAGATGAGTCATGTTCACCTGGAAATTGAAGATGAGTCATGTTCATGTTCGCTGTGACCTCGCTGGCAATCGCCATCATTTACACCTAATCCTCTCCTTCTCATCATCAATCCTCAATCCTCAAGGTGCTCGATAAATCATAGAATCTTGCAAGACCCTAACTTAGACGAATTAGTTAACTTACTCTTGGTTGACATAGACACTTTCTAAAAGATACATGCTAAAACCAGGTTTTATCCCTATATCCACGTAACTTTTAATAGAAATGTTAACAAGAAGTGCTGGGGTATTAAGCTGATCAAAATGTGAGAATGAACGCTTCTTCTGTAAGTGCAGCACTAGAGGACAGTGTTATCATGGCTTCAGGAGCTCCACTTAGGATAGTTAACAATACAGATTTCCTGACAGTGAATTCAACATCCGAATACAACTCCTATGAAATATTACCAACAGATCGCTCCTGTGACTGTGAACGTGACACTGAAAGAACATTCTTTGCCGCCTTCATTGCTACGCTTCTCCTCTCTCTAGCTCTGTTTCTAATTCTTGTAATCACTGGAATTGTCCTCAAAACAAGGAATTGTCTTATTAAGTCTTTGAGTAAGAATTCTCCTGACAGTGGCATCAATTTAGGAAAATACCCTTCAAACGAGGTCACAGTACCTCTGCTCGGCTATTTAAAGGACAGCGGCCCATGTGTTGCACTAGAAAGAATGATTGGTCTAGTTTCATTGTCACTTCGTGCCAAAACGTTACTGCACAAAAACTTAATTGCAGAAATAAATAGACAATTTGAATTGAAACTTACTGAGATGAAACAGGATACTCGAGACCAAGAAACTCAGCTAGGATCATCTAAAAAAGCGGAGCTCAAACGCTTAGAAATGATTTTCAGTGGAAAAATGAAAAAATCAAACAGTGGCAACTGGGATAAGGTTAAGCAGATTCTAGAACAAATAAGAACTGAAAAAGAAAAACTGATTAACGTGAAGTACCAGGAAAAAGTTTACAACCTGCAACACCACGACGATGTGCAGAAGCTTCACTTTAAAATTAGCACCGAGAGACAAAACAGAGAGTTTGGGATTGAATTAAACAAGCTAGCGAGAGAGACTCTAGAGCAATGGCGTAAAATTGTCAATAATAATGAAGGTATGAATCCAGCTGCTCTTCCTTCGATACTGTTTCTTCTACTTGAAGGCTTACTACAGGATGAACTGAATCATGTTAATACTAAACACGGAAATCAACTTCAAAATAAAGGTAATAAATACCTCAGAGACCTCGAAAAATTGCAAGAAAACTTTACCAAAAAATGCGTTGACTTAGAAACTTGCTACAAAGAAAACTGCAATAGTATCATTAGAGACCAAGACAGAGACCTAGCTTCCTCACCCTGGAATGAAGGAAAACTAATGGAACAAGTGAAGGAATTGTATGACTTCAGAACGCAAATACTTGATGTCAAATTAAGTTTAGATATGAAGAAGACCCAAGACAAGTATTCTGAGGTCACACTGAAGCTTCGTCACCTTGACAGTGTTATACAACTTCAGAACGAGCATCTTGAAGATCTGGAGAAAGTCATAACATTAATTATAAAATCTCAAAAGATCTACGTTCAAGTTTTGATCCATCTACATAAAGGAACGGAACTTAAGATCGATGGGCAACGACAAGACACCGAGATGCCATGGCAGGAAGAGGCTGAAACAGTGGATTCATAGCGGAAGCGCTATGAATAAAAAGAGTGAACGGGAAAATGTAAATATCTTACCAAAGAATTTCACAAAAGCTTGTGCTTTCAAACCCATAGGTGCCGAGAAAATATGATAAAGATGGAGTTAAAGAATATGCTCTTGATTTTCTGATATCATATATTGAAATTTTGTCTACAAATGCAAGTAGCGTGAGACTATATTTTTGCAGAATGAGGCTCTAATTTTAAGACATCAATTAAACTATATATTGTAATTCAGATTTTGTGTTTGATGCACCATAATTATTCTCATTTTGCATATGTTATATCTGCATTTTTTTTTTAAATAGGAGATTAATCAAAGCTTCCAGTAAATTTTATTATTTGTAAATTAATACTTAAGGTCACGTTTGAATTCATTACAGAGATTGGCAATAAAATATGTTGTAATACTAATTAACAGACTGCAATCTCAGTCACCAGAAATTTATGAAGAAAAACAAAGTAAAATGCCAACAATATGCAATAAACATAATGTAAATATAATGAGTGATTTAAATCTGCCAAGGTCAAAGATTTTCATGTACATGGTAACTATAATTTAAATGTGCAGATGTACTATATGGATAAAAAAGTCATCATCGATAAAATACATAACAGATATAAATTAAAAATGAGGAAAAACACTAAGTTTGAAAATTATATAGATTACAATCAAGAAAATTCACCAAAATACATCTCGAGTTTTAATACCAAAGTAAGAATAATATAACTCATAAATACGATGTGAATACAACTAACACAAACGTTGATTTAAAATCTTAAATTATCGAAACATGTTTTATTGCTAAGCTGATGTCAAAAACATCTGCCAAACATAAATGGTGGAACAAAAAAAACATGGTTTTGCTCAACATATAAAAACTCGCAATTCAAAGGCTACAACAATGGTATAATGAGTGCAGTGTTCGATGATAAATGTTTACATTAATAAGATATAATGATGAACAATAATTGGCTAAATATTTAACATATTATTGGATATGTATTTTCTTTTATACTTTATTTAATAATTAGTGTTTGAATGTAATTATTTGTCTCCTACATTTCAAATTGTATATAAAGCAATGGCTGTTTCATTTACAACTTCCTTATACTCAGACACGTGTATTATTTCTTTAAGATTACAAGCAAAATAATATGCTATTTCTTTAATTCTTTAATAGTAGAATCAAAATAATATCCTTTAGAAAAGTAATAATATGGGGATTTTTCAAAATAAATAATAAATGGATTAACTGTTATTATTACGGAAGAATACGTAATTCAAATGCAACATTTCATCACACAGAGAAATGACTTGAACATGATAGAGCATAGAGCTCGTCTGGAGCCTCCTCAAGAGACTCTTGTGGACTGGTTCTTCATCCATTAGTCCATTATATCTCTATCTACTCATCTACTTTTTTCATCTACGCCACGAAGGAACTTATGTACTCCAGCTGCACTTAAAGCCTAAGTCCTAGAGCCTCTATTTCCTGATCTGTGCAGGAGCTGCCACCTTTATTGTCCCAAATATTGTGTTTGTCTTCTGTGATCACTTATACTGCCACACAACAACTCTGCTCCTGACCTCGTTTAGTCTCAAACTGACCTGCTAAACCCTCCTTCGTGGCCCACACCATAGGCCTAGGTTTTGAAGCTTGGCCTATGGCAGCTTCAAACTTTTGAAGCACAAAGACATGTATTTTGAAACTTTTCAAATATATGTCAGCGCTTACAACATTGCTATTTAAGAAGTTTCTCCTGTCACATACGTGTTACACAGGAATTCAATAAAGTTATGGTTAATAGATTCAGGCAACTGGTTGTGCTTATAGTAGTCAGCTGCTCCCAGTGTGTGACAATCACCTCCTTTACTGCCAAGGCAAAGGTAAGGAAATTGTGAGAATAAAGTGTTAAGACAGACAACTATATTGTATTTGGAAAGAATGTGTGGGCAAGGAGCTGGGGTTGGACAGCAGGAAGGAGCGGTGCTCAACCCAACGGGGATTGACCGAAGACCTGCAGTAAGCAAGGCCGTCCCACTAATGGACTAAGCCAACTACTGACTTCCCGCAGAAGGCTACCCACAACAGCCTCCTGGATACCTTCTTGAGGTTATCTTGAGATGATTTCGGGGCTTTAAGTGTCCCCGCGGCCATGTCCTCGACCAGGCCTCCACCCCTAGGAAGCAGCCCGTGACAGCTGACTAACACCCAGGTACCTATTTTACTGCTAGGTAACAGGGGCATAGGGTGAAAGAAACTCTGCCCATTGTTCCTCGCCGGCGCCTGGGATCGAACCCAGGACCACAGGATCACAAGTCCAGCGTGCTGTCCGCTCGGCCGACCGGCTCCCTCCTACATACAGCCGTGTAACTAGAGGTCTCGATTGCAAGGAAGCGTTCACATTTTTCCTCCCAGCTCGGCAGTCAGCCTCGGGGTCTTACCTACTGTGGTAAAGGTGGCCAAAATATTTTTGTTATTGCATTTTAGACAAGAGATATCTTGAAGTTATCTTGAGATGATTTCGGGGCTTAGCGTTCCCGCGGCCCGGTCATCGACCAGGCCTCATTTTTGTTACATCCCCCATCCTCCTCTCCTCCGGAAGCAGCCCGTAACAGCTGTCTAACTCCCAGGTACCTATTTACTGCTAGGTGAATAGAGGAAATCAGGGTGAAAGAAATTCTGCCCATTTGTTTCCGCCTCCGCTGGGGATAGAACCCAGAACCTTAGGACTACGAATCCCGAGCTCTGTCCACTCAGCTGTCAGGCCCCAGATAATAAAATGTCTAATGGAAAGCAGAAGCCAGGTCATGAAAACTGTCATTTACGAATGCACCGATAGAACAAATTAGACAATATCAATTTCAAACACGATTATTCATGAAAAAGATCTTTGCATTTCTATTGATCGTTGACATCAGTTGGATAAATCTTTTAGTGAAAAAATCCAAGATGTCAATATTTACTTTAAAGACGATTTTCAAATATTTAATATCAGCATTAATATAACATAAGTTATCTTAGAGATATATATTCCACTTTTCTTGAGCAGTGCTTCAGTACCATCCTGTCTTCAGACTACATTTTTCTAAATGCATCACTAAGGTACAGCAAATACAGATATTTGATAAAAGAACCAAAACATCTGCCTAAACAGGTGACCTAACCTAACACCTGTTAAGTTTAGTTTAACCAAAACACCTAACTCAAACTAGCATAGGCCTGTACACAAAAACGCAGTATACATACATTTTAATATGTATATGAGAAAAAGTCTTTCATACAGTATGTTAGCATTTTGTCGAATTTGTCTTTAGGGTCGACCACACCCTGAGGACGGGCTGGTGGGGTCTAGGTCGACCACACCCTGAGGACGGGCTGGTGGGGACTAGGTCGACCACACCCTGAGGACGGGCTGGTGGGGACTAGGTCGACCACACCCTGAGGACGGGCTGGTGGGGGCTAGGTCGACCACACCTTGAAGACGGGCTGGTGGGGTCTAGGTCGACCACACCCTGAGGACGGGCTGGTGGGGTCTAGGTCGACCACACCCTGAGGACGGGCTGGTGGGGTCTAGGTCGACCACACCCTGAGGACGGGTTGGTGGGGACTAGGTCGACCACACCCTGAAGACGGGCTGGTGGGGTCTAGGTCGACCACACCCTGAGGACGGGTTGGTGGGGTCTAGGTCGACCACACCCTGAGGACGGGCTGGTGGGGTCTAGGTCGACCACACCCTGGGGACGGGTTGGTGGGGTCTAGGTCGACCACAACCTGACGACGGGTTGGTGGGGACTAGGTCGACCACACCCTGAGGACGGGCTGGTGGGGTCTAGGTCGACCACACCCTGAGGACGGGCTGGTGGGGAGTAGGTCGACCACACTCTGAAGACGGGCTGGTGGGGTCTAGGTCGACCACAACCTGACGACGGGTTTGTGGGGACTAGGTCGACCACACCCTGAGGACGGGCTGGTGGGGACTAGGTCGACCACACCCTGAGGACGGGCTGGTGGGGTCTAGGTCGACCACACCCTGAGGACGGGCTGGTGGGGTCTAGGTCGACCACACCCTGAGGACGGGTTGGTGGGGACTAGGTCGACCACACCCTGAGGACGGGTTGGTGGGGACTAGGTCGACCACACCCTGAGGACGGGCTGGTAGGGACTAGGTCGACCACACCCTGAGGACGGGTTGGTGGGGACTAGGTCGACCACACCCTGAGGACGGGCTGGTGGGGACTAGGTCGACCACACCCTGAGGACGGGTTGGTGGGGACTAGGTCGACCACACCCTGAGGACGGGCTGGTGGGGTCTAGGTCGACCACACCCTGACGACGGACTGGTAGAGTTTAGGTCGAGCCAGCCGAACGAACATGACTTCAGGACAAGTTGTTTGACATACATTACAATCCCTTAAAATTATCATGGCTATATCTATCTCTCGGGTTTCAAGGGAGAATTTTCATACGCGTATTTCGGTTCTTTCTTTCTGGCAATTCGAAGTAATGTCTTCCTGTTCCTCAGTGTTGCAGTTTGACAAAATATCTTCCTTGTCAGTTTTAAGAGATACGTGTCATAACTGTTTGCCTTCTGTCTACTAGTTTTAGTATATTTAACGAATCCGGCATCTCCTCACAGCTCTTGTTTGGTTTTCTCCCCGAGGCCTATTTTCTATCTTGAGGTTATCTTGAGATGATTTCGGGGCTTTTTTTTAGTGTCCCCGCGGCCCGGTCCTTGACCAGGCCTCCACCCCCAGGAAGCAAACCGTGACAGCTGACTAACACCCAGGTACCTATTTTACTGCTAGATAACAGGGGCATAGGGTGAAAGAAACTCTGCCCATTGTTTCTCGCGGGCGCTTGGAATCGAACCCAGGACCACAGGGTCACAAGTCCAGCGTGCTGTCCGCTCAGTCTCGACCGGCCTGAGAGTCATTTTGTAATAAGATTGACACCTTTTGAAATTTATTATGTCTTTTTAGATATGGATACGACCCTACTACTGCTACTACTGCTTATTAAGCTTTTACGTTATCCTTCGCCCTGTGTCGCGTATGTGTGCGCGGGGGTGCTTTTGGGGGCGTGTATATGTGGTCAAGAATATGTACAAAAACACACACCAAGTGAAAATCATGCAAAAGGTAAGCGCAAACACATATATTTATGTGCTCTAAAAACAGAGAAGCGTGTTCATTATGAACATTTTTGTTCCCTTCTCCCCCAGTATTGGTTTCCGAGCAGCCGTAAATATTGTTGGGGGGCGAGTTTTATTGAACATCAGCGAGGGTGAGACCGACCGTCCAGCACGGTGCTATTTCTTTCTCTCTCCTCATCCCCCTGTGTTAATTATTGTTATTACCCCTCACCCAACCAATGTTTATTAACAAAAATATTCAAGTTACATAACACAAATAATATGTATATATATACATTATATATATATACTCCCCTCATCATTACATATATATATATATGTTGTACCTAGTAGCCAGAACGCACTTCTCAGCCTACTATGCAAGGCCCAATTTGTCTAATAAGCCAAGTTTTCATGAATTAATTGTGTTTCGACTACCTAACCTACCTAACCTAACCTAACTTTTTCGGCTACCTAAGTTAGGTAGGGTTGGTTAGGTTCGGTCATATATCTACGTTAATTTTACCTCCAATAAAAAAAATTGACCTCATACATAATGAAATGGGTAGCTTTATCATTTCATAAGAAAAAAATTAGAGAAAATATATTAATTCAGGAAACTTGGCTTATTAGGCAAATCGGGCCTTGCATAGTAGGCCGAGAAGTGCGTTCTGGCTACTAGGTACGACATTATATATATATATATATATATATATATATATATATATATATATATATATATATATATATATATATATAAAATATCTACACTAGATATGGTACCCGGCTTTGTCCAGGTCTCTCTCCCTCTTCTCCCACTCCCATCTATACCAACCTCTCCCATCTATACCAACCTCTCCCTTCCCCCTCTCATCTCTCTTCATCTATCCCCACTCTTCTCGCCTCTCTCCATCTCCCATTCTAACGACTTTCATACCTGTCTACCTCAAACGGCCTCATCTCGTTTCCTCTCTTGTGTCTCAATCTCTCCTCTCCCCCTCTTTCCCAATCTCGCTTCTCCCCATCTGTTCCCTAATTCTCCAATTCTCATTTCCTCTATCATCCCTCATCTGCCTCCCTCTCCACCTTTCTCTGCCCATCTTCTCCCCTCCCTTCTCTCCCAACATCCCTTTCTTCTTCCCTTCTGATCCCTCTCCATCCCTTCTCCCCCTCGTTTTCTTTCTCCCTCTAGTTATCTCATAAAATTTAATATTTCGAACATTTGGAAACTTCTAGGAATTCCAAGGAAATCAAATCCTGATTTCAGACTTATTGAAAAAAAATAAGAGCGGTATATCTTAAAAGAGGCGGGCACAGAGTCTTATCACAACTAACCTATGATATTCCCATACCACTCATGTATCATCTTGAAGATTTAGCCAAGGCTAACCCAAAGCGTCTGGCCATGAATGGCCAAACTGTCCTTTGACAGACACTCACAAGTACCTAACTCATCTGAGAGTGTAAAACCTTCCGTGGAGCACAAGTAAAGTATTTCGTTGTGCCCCAACGTTCCACCCACTCCATCCACCCACTCCATCCACCCACTCCATCCACCCACTCCATCTATCCACGATTTTTAAGATACAATGCACAATAGCTTAGGTTATTGCCTGTCATTCACTTCGATTATTGGGGATAGTAATTCGGGCCAAAAAATTAAGAGGAATTTTTTATCCCTGAGTATTTAATAGGTGTCTCACTGTCACTAGAATTACCACTTAAATTATACAATACTCACTGATTATATTTAACTTCTCGAATGCAAAGTTGCCGGCATGATATTAAGTCCGAACAAGTCAGGACTTTCAACGCAGGTCGCAAGTTGTGAAGCAAAAACGCTCGAAACTTTCCAACTCAAGTTGAGTCCACGAGCAGTCCTTGATGTCTCACTGACCGCCGTGACTTGGTAAGTTGTCCACTCCCCTCCAGTTCTGAGGTGTTCCTAAAGTGATTACGTTTACCCGGAATATCTGGCACGCCTTTGTTGGCCTTAAGAGAATATCTCTCTCTCTCTCTCTCTCTCTCTCTCTCTCTCTCTCTCTCTCTCTCTCTCTCTCTCTCTCTCTCTCTCTCTCTCTCTCTCTCTCTCTCTCTCTCTCTCTCTCTCTCTCTCTCTCTCTCTCTCTCTCTCTCTCTCTCTCTCTCTCTCTCTCTCTCTCTGTCTCTCTCTCTGTCTCTCTCTCTGTCTCTCTCTCTCTCTCTCTCTCTCTCTCTCTCTCTCTCTCTCTCTCTCTCTCTCTGTCTCTCTCTCTGTCTGTCTGTCTGTCTGTCTGTCTGTCTCTCTCTCTCTGTCTCTCTCTCTCTGTCTCTCTCTCTCTGTCTCTCTCTCTCTGTCTGTCTCTCTCTGTCTCTCTCTCTCTGTCTCTCTCTCTCTCTCTCTCTCTCTCTCTCTCTCTCTCTCTCTCTCTCTCTCTCTCTCTCTCTCTCTCTCTCTCTCTCTCTCTCTCTCTCTCTCTCTCTCCGTCTCTCTCTCTCTGTCTCTCTCTCTCTGTCTCTCTCTCTCTCTCTCTCTGTCTCTCTCTCTGTCTCTCTCTCTGTCTCTCTCTCTCTCTGTCTCTCTCTCTCTGTCTCTCTCTCTCTCTCTCTCTCTCTCTCTCTCTCTCTCTCTCTCTCTCTCTCTCTCTCTCTCTCTCTCTCTCTCTCTCTCTCTCTCTCTCTCTCTCTCAAACACACACGCACGCACGCACGCACTTCACAGTGTGTGTATGCTCGAGAAGCTCAATAATCTGTACAATAGTAGACTAACAGTTGAGAGGAGGGACCAAAGAGCAAAAGCTCAACCCCTGAAAGCCCAACTAAGTGCGTACAACTAGGTGAATAAACACCTAGTTGTACTTTCTATGTTTGTGAAACTCCGTATGTTATACATCCTATTTTGTCCGGTCGGAATGTTGACGTTCACATTTTGACGTATTATTGGAGAGGTATTTGACGTATTATTGGATAATATATTATATTATTCCCTACTCACCCCAACAGTGACGCTTCAGCTCCTACTACACCAGCAGCCCAAGTTTCCCACAGTCTGCCCTCTCTAAACTCTTACTCAAAATTGATAGTACTTATTGCAACTATTAGTTGAATGTACGAAAATGTACTGTTACATGTAAACAAAAAAAAACCTTGTACAATTTATATTGTAGTGGACACAAGAAAGAAGACAAACAGTAAGCCACATCTTTCCCAGGCTTAGAATAGCACATGTATGTGTTAACATAGGCCCAAGATGGTGCATTCTAGGCCTAGAATTGCATATTTAGGTTTAAGACAGGTTAGGGAAGGTTGTGTTGTTACTGTTTCACTTTTTGGAATGCCATTTGGAATGTTCCAATTGTATAAATGTGAAAACATTTTGTACATCAGTCCCAATATGAACATTTGATGAACGTTTGTTATGTCTCCTAGGCACATGAGAGAGACTACTAGCAATGGTAGGTCCCAATTGCTTACCTAATCAATGAGAGTTTTAACTGGTAAATCTTGTTCATTACCTATTTTAATGCCTCTCGCTTCACCTTCTATACATAATTAACTTTCCCACTAATCTACCAACGAAACAGATAATTACAAACAGCTTGGGCACGTTTTCCACCCTGTGCTGACAATCACAAGCCACAATCAGAAATCAGGGCCAGTTTTAAAAATATTGACTTCCCACTACCGAGAACAAGGAAGCGCCGACGACCGATCAGCGAAGCAGAGGAATGATGAGACGACAGGAGGCCTGGAGAAGCACACTGTGCACTTAGTGCTGCTGTGGTGGATCTCACCGGAGTGTGACATGGCAGGTTATTCGTGATAGTGTGTATTGCGTAAGACAGATGGTTGGGTGTGATCCTAAGCCTTCCCTCTCGGGGTTCAGGTTTCCCCACCCAACGGTAGTGGGAGACGGGGAACTGATGATGAGGATGACGGGTTGAGCTTGATGAAACTTAGGTTGCTATTATTCGGCAATAATAGTTTCAGAAATATTAAGAGCAAGGTGCGTGTCAAACACCTTTTGAATCTATGGGGCTTATCCACCAGCATCCAGAGAAGACCACGTTGCCACTACCTTCTGGAGACACCAATATGTCACACCCCATCAGTAGAAGCTTGCATGTCCACAGTTTACAGGGCCAATCAACTACCTTCAAGAAGAGTCCATAGGACCACCACCTTCAAGACGAAAGCACATTTTTACTTTCACTAGAAATAGGTCTCGAGTCCACCCAAAACGAAGAGCCCTAATGTCCAGCACCTTGTAGAAGAGGAGGAGCCTACGTTCACCTAATGGAACAAAAATCATCAGTCACCTTCAAAATAATAATAATAACAGTAACAAGAGGGTTCAACACCTCAAGGATTAAGATAAGCGTGGTTATACAGCACCGTCAAGATGAAGAAAAATAACCGTGACCAACTCCTTTAAGCAAAGGAGGAGTAATCGAGTCAAGCGACTTTTGAAGGAGGATAATCGAGCACCCAGCAGCAAGAGGAAGAACAAATAGCCCGCGTAATCAGCACCTACCGGAGCAGGAAAGCCCGCGAATCCAGTTCCTTCGTGAGCAACAGAGCCCGCGTATTTAGCGCCTTCGACAGCAAGAAAGCCCGCGAGTCCAGCAGTAACTCGGGTCTTCCAGCATGAGGGGGCGAGAGTCCATCCATCAGCAACGTCGAGGTCTGCGCCTGGAGCCGACATGGCCCTTCATCACTCGCCAACAACCGGACGCTCTTCCAGACACTTTATCATGAAATTCCTCCGGAGAGAAATTCATCTACACTGAGGGAGGTTATTTTGGGTTTATGGACGGCTGAAGAAGTAGACAAGTGGTGGTGGCAGGGGAGATGGTTGTAGGGATGGTGGTGGCAGGCGAGATGGTTGTAGGGATGGTGGTGGCAGGCGAGATGGTTGTAGGGATGGTGGTGGCAGGCGAGATGGTTGTAGGGATGGTGGTGGCAGGGGAGATGGTTGTAGGGATGGTGGTGGCAGGCGAGATGGTTGTAGGGATGGTGGTGGCAGGGAAGATGGTTGTAGGGATGGTGGTGGCAGGCGAGATGGTTGTAGGGATGGTGGTGGCAGGCGAGATGGTTGTAGGGATGGTGGTGGCAGTGTAAATTGAGGTAGAAGATGAGGTGCTTGCCATTGAGAGACTGGTAGGAGATGTGGTCGCTACTTAATTGTGGTAGAGAAGGTGGTTAATTTTTTCAAGCTCAGGCTCACATCTGGTCAATATTATTCTTGGAGGTAGATTAGGTTATATTAAATTATGTTAAGTTGGGTTAGGTTAGGGTAAGTTTAGTGAGTTCGGGTCAGTTTAAGTTCAGTTCGGGTCAGGCTAGATCGGATTAGATTGAATTAGGTTGTGTCGGGTTAGATTAAGTTGGGCTAGGTAAGGTTAGGAAGGATGAGGTTAGGTTAGCATACATAGATCAGGTTAGGTTAGTTAAAGTTAGGATTATTTAAAGGTTAGTGATACGTTAGCTTCTTAGTGCACCATCCACAGCGGGCTTCTAAGTGGCGCATGGCCGATAAGAACCACACATTGCAGTGATTAAGCTTGTGGTTCTTGGAGTGTTCCAAAGCTTAAGTTTGTGATGACCGAGTGTATGACATTGAGAGCTCATATCATACCATGATTAAGCTTCCGTTTTCTCTCACACATTCGTATTATCGAGTGTATGCATGTATGCGTGAGTGTTTGAGCGTGTGCGTGCGTTAATGCACATGAACACCTAGCACGATCTTATGATTTAACAAACGTCAATTATAAAGTATTTTTTGCGTAAACATTTGTTCCTGCTGGTCGTGTATTCGTGGAAGCGTCAATATTAGAGTGCTCTAATTTAGTAGAGCATCGTAAATTTGACGCTTTGGTTTATAGCAACGAAAATGCTGTGCATTAAGTGTGAAAACAGGTTGGGTCATCGATTGCTCAGTGTTCTTAAAAAAACTGAATGGAATCTGTTAGCAATCTGATTTATTGATCATGATATATATATATATATATATATTAGTATATTTTGGTAGCAGTCTTTCCTGTAGACATATTTTATTAAATATGACCGAAAAAGTAAGATTAATAATTCTAACACGAATTTTCTCAATCTTTCGTACATTATGCTTCACTGTTGGAGGTAAATCAAAAATCACTTCTCCAAAATTCATTTTTATTTCTAGTCTGACGCGACACGGGCGCGTTTCGTAAAACTTATTACATTTTCAAAGACTTCACAAATACACAACTGATTAGAACTTGCGTTTCCCTGATTTTATATCTACATTTGAGTGAGGTGGGAAGGGTGATGTGGCATTACATTTGAGTAAGGTGGGAAGGATGATGTGGCATTAGAGGATATTAATAGGGTATTAAAAGTATCAACACAAGACAGAACACGAAACAATGGATATTGAATAGAAGTGTTTGTAGAAAGCCTATTGGTCCATATTTCTTGATGCTTCTATATTGGAGCGGAGTCTTGAGGTGGGTAGAATATAGTTGTGCAATAATTGGCTGTTGATTGCTGGTGTTGACTTCTTGATGTGTAGTGCCTCGCAAACGTCGAGCCGCCTGCTATCGCTGTATCTATCGATGATTTCTGTGTTGTTTACTAGGATTTCTCTGGCGATGGTTTGGTTATGGGAAGAGATTATATGTTCCTTAATGGAGCCCTGTTGTTTATGCAACGTTAAACGCCTAGAAAGTTTATGCATCGTTAAACGCCTATATATATATATATATATATATATATATATATATATATAATATATATATATATATATATATATATATATATATATATATATGTCGTACCTAGTAGCCAGAACTCACTTCTCGGCCTAATATGCAAGGCCCGATTTGCCTAATAAGCCAAGTTTTCCAGAATTAATATATTTTCTCTAATTTTTTTCTTATGAAATGATAAAGCTACCCATTTCATTATGTATGAGGTCAATTTTTTTTTATTTGAGTTAAAATTAACGTAGATATATGACCGAACCTAACCAACCCTACCTAACCTAACCTATCTTTATAGGTTAGGTTAGGTTAGGTAGCCGAAAAAGTTAGGTTAGGTTAGGTTAGGTAGGTTAGGTAGTCGAAAAACAATTAATTCATGAAAACCTGGCTTATTAGGCAAATCAGGCCTTGCATAGTAGGCTGAGAAGTGCGTTCTGGCTACTAGGTACGACATATATATATATATATATATATATATATATATATCAAGAGCATTTACAGGACTAAATACGATCAAATTAAACTCACAGTACTAACCACATTCTTGCCTTTCTCTATAGTCATTGTAATATTCTAACTATTTTTTTATATTTCATATATATATATACTCTGATTTATTCTTTTTTGTATGCTTCCTATCGTACAAAACTTCTTTCTTTCTCTTCCTCAACATCTTTCCGCTTTATTATTTCTCCATCTCTTATCTCGTTTCTTTCAATCCCTTTTTATCTACATTATCTCCCCCTCCCCCCCCCCTTTTTCATTTCCATTCCTCAATGGCCCCATCGTCACAATCTGTTCTTTCTACCCAAATCTCGCCTCGCATCCTTTTAAATTTCCTTCTCACCTGTAGTCTCTTCTATACCACACTCATTCTCCAGTGATTCATCATATCATCAACATGCTTGGAATGCAAAATGTTTGCATACCGGAACATATAAATTTTATATAAAAAAAATACGACTTTATTGACATAGACTTTAAGTAAATTCTGCAGTTGTCTCTTGATCTTTGTATTGGTTCAGTCTAGGCCACAGCTGTCTGTATTGTAAGATAGCTGAGAGGTGGCTGCGCCGAGCTGAGTATACAATGGTACCTAATTAATAATTACATGAAAGTTGGAGTGTAGAATATATGATACGATACGAGTTTGTCTAAAATAAAAAAAATTTCCTTCCCTTAATTATAATTAAATAATAATTATATTTTTATTAATTAAAATTAATTAATTAATTAATTTTAATTAATTATTAATTAAAATTATAACCTTCCCTTAAACCCTTGTTGTAAAAAAAAAAAAACTAAAAAAAAAAGTTTTACATATATCCAACCCCTGGGATTGAACAGAGATGTATACCCCCATATCTCGCTATACTTTAGAGTATACTTTGGGATTATACTATGTATAATCTGTATTTGGAGTTAGCTATGTATTGTTTTGGAGTATGCTTTAATTCTGGACTATGGTCAGGACTATAGTAGACTTGCTGGCTGGTCAGTAGGTATCTGGTGGTGGTAAGGTCTCTCTGGTGGGTGAGTGGCCTTTAGCTCCATTACTGTTCCAAACCAGGTGAGTAGAAGGGACTTGTTCACCCAGAGGTGTAGCCCGATTCTCTCTCTGTGTGTGTATACACTGTGAGTTTACCTCAGGTCTGGATTGTGTTCGGAAGGGGAGAGATGGGAAGGGCACTATCAGGAGAAAGCGCCAAGCTATTATAAGTATAAATCATTTGGAAGGAATCAGGATAAGGATTTGGGATGGGACAGGGGGGGAGGGGGGGGGGGGAAGGAATGGTGCCCACTCACCTGGACGGTCGGGGGTTTCAACGTCGAACCGTCCAAGTGGTTGGGCACCATTTCTTCTTCCCCCGTCCCATCTCAAATCCTTATGTGTAATTCACATGTGTTATCTAGTCTTGATAGCTTGGCGCTCACTCCTGATAACTCCCCTTCCTTGACTGTGTATACTTCCTGGCTGATCAGCAAGCTATTCTTGTGGCCATAATAGTTTTCTTACGCAGTTGATAGGCCTTAACAATAAACCATCAAATAATGCTGGCGAAATATGTTCCTTCTTAAGGTAAAATACCTTTATAAAGTAAGTTAACCAAAAGAAAGTTAATCATGATAGGTTCTTGATGGCGCGCCAAAAATCCCATTGCCCCTAAAAGAATTCAAAATGCAACAAAATTATCCCTAGTCCAGTGCAACACAATCATCAATGCTGAACAAATCCACAAGGAACCGTGATGAGGGTTCGAACCTCCGTCCGAGAGGATCCCCAGACGCGCCTTTATCGACTGAGTCACGACATGGTTAAAAATAAGAATTGCCGTTCACTTGATGCATCACGCTTTTGTGATTTGTGTTTGTGTAATCAATGCTGGCTTACAGTGCACATCCTCCTGTGCAATGCAAACCTTTCAGCTGGACTTTGCAGACAGCCCAGCAGTGCAAGATGCCATCAGATGACTATCAAATGGCTTCTACATCTCCCTCCCCCCCTCCAATCCCCCTCTCTCCCCCCCATTTCTCCACAGCCTGTGCCCCCCCCCCCTGGCCAGCATCCAGCCGTTATATTGAACTCGTTTATTTCCTCAACACGCAACCGCTGGCACGTTAATGGTTGTTACATCAAAATAACTGACCCGGTTTAATTACGATATTATACCCTTTGGCCCGAGTCCTCTGGAGCACAGCAGAGGTTTAAGTGATATCAGGCAGCGTTTGTGTGTAATACGAGGAAGGCTAAGTTCTTTTTTTTTTAATCACTAAACTGAAGGCTGCTGCCATTGTTATATATTATGGGAGATATTCTCCCGCCAAACACACACCGAAATTACGACGTTGGTGCAACGTTCGAACAAGTTTTAACACGTCCTAACCAGTTATAACAACCAATATAGCAAGTTGTAACAACGTTCTAATACGTCATAAACACGTTAAGCCAAGATGTAACAATTTTATTACAAGTTGTAACAAGCAGAAAATATAGAGACAGTTTCAGTTTGTGTTTCCAGGGCTTACAATGACTTGTTATGCTGTAAATTATACTGTACAGGTGGCAAAAGTTGCAATTTTTCGATTAATTTTCCTAGTGGTTCGTTTAAAATTAAACGAACCAGAACTCAAATTCAAATTATCTAAACTTTGCATATATTTACATTCACCACTCTCTTCCCCCCCAAAAAAAAATATCCACCCCAAAAAAATCTATCCAGAAAGAGCAGCGGGAATATAACGAGAATCAGGTCTATAACTTAGCAATTCATATATACCAAGCCATATGGAAGGGAAAATGCACTCTCCTTTATAAAGCAGAGGGAGGTAAAAATGTAGATTGGGTGAGGCTGATTGCTTGGTACTTTCTATTCTAAAGACTTGGCCTGGATTGCCTTTTTATTTTT